ACCAACCAGGTCAACAGGCTCTCCTTGGCCTGCTTCTAGCCCAGCTGGCAACCAAGTGGACAAAGGGGCCCTTGCTTTGCCCCTGGTGCCATGCTTGGATTCTTGATTCTAAATTGTCCATGGCTATCTCTTCTTGATTTTTTAAAAATTGTTATACTATTATTATTTATGTATGTTTTTATGAATTCTTTGTGAGCCTCCCCAAGCCTTTTTTGCAATGGGGGCGGCACAGAAATGTTTTAAATAAATAAATAAATAAATAAATAAATAAATAAATAAATAAGAGCCAAGTGTAGGCTAAACATTACCCTGAATTTTACAAAAGACAATTCTAATCCACTCAGAACAATGATAATCCCATGGTAAGCAACTCAGATGAGTAAAGAAGTCATAGATGTGTGTGTTTGTCTGGAAGGGGGTTAAAAAGGACATTTTAAAGGCACAATTACACACAATTATAATGAGAAGAAAAGCTAGAAGACAAGAAAAGAGGCCAATGTGGCTTTACCAAAATGGTTAGAAATGATCTGAAGGCAGGCAGCCAGGCAGGCAGGCAAAGTAGAAAGAAGGAAAGCCTTTAAAAGTTTGCAGGCAATTAGTGTGGAATTTAAAGGAGGCAAAGCTCCCTGCTAAAGCTAGAAAGCAATTGAGGCTAGCCAGGGATGCTACAAGCAACAAAGAAGCTTTCTTCAGCTGCATCCATAGTAACAGATGGAGGAAAGAAAGGGTGGCTCAGCTACTTGGTGTGGGTGGCAAAACGAGAACAGCTGAGAAGGGAGAAGCAGAAGTGCTCAGTTCCTCCCTTGGCTCTCCCTGTTTTCAAGAAGGGAAAAGGGAAGGACTCAGACACAGCAAACACCTTTAAAACAATGCAGTAATTACCAGAAGCCAGCATGGTAAAACTTTCTGGAATAACCTGACCTCATTTTTTGATTTGGTCCCATTCCCAGTGGAATGTGGGGATGCGGTTGACATTATCTATCCTGACTTCAGCAAAGCGCCCCTTGAGATCCTGATTAGCAAAGTAGCTCTGAGTGGGGTACATTTGAACAACTGCAAGGTGCGTCCACAGCTGGTCACAGAATCAGACTCAATGAGCGCTCATCAGGGGCACCTTCTTAGCATGGGGTACAGCAGGGCTCAGTCCTGGGCACAGTGCTCTTCAGCATTTCCATAAACACCTTGGATGAAGGAGTGCAGGGGGCAATTCTCAAATTTGCAGGTGACACCAAATTATGTAGGATGGGTAATATCCTGGAAGACAGAAACACAATATGAGCAAACAGTATGATCTTGCTGCAATTGATCGACTCGCACAGCGACACAAAGAGTACACTACAGTATTCTTTCATTCAATGAGCTTTTAGAGGATACAGAGGTATAACAGTTGTTGAGAATTCCCTGTATTCAGAATAAGGGATCTCTTGTAGTTTAATTTCATTTTGCATGTATCTTCTTTGGGACTGACACATCAAAAACAACCGTAGCCTCTTGCCACAATCCTGGGACTGACAATAAGGCCCTATGAAGGAGAGATTGAAAGAGTTAGACAAGTTTGGCCTTCAGAAGAGAAGACGGAGGGAGATACTGACAACTTTTCAAGTGTGTGAAAGATTGTCTAGCTACAGGAGGGCAGATTCCAGCTGAACAGCTGAAAGAACTTCCTGTCTCTCAGCACAATGCAACAGTGGAGCCAATTGGATCAGGGGGGATCATGGTCTCCCCCACACTAGAGGTGTTGACTAGGAGCCGCTTCATCTCTACTATTCTAAGATTCCCTGATTTTATACCCCTTTTCTTCTTTCTCGTATGCATTCGCTATGTCTGTTCTTTCTGCTAGCCCCTTTCTCTGAATGGTAAACTGATGGGCAATGGTTTTGAGAAGTTTATTAGAAGTTCTGCATTTTGTCTTTTTCAAGCCATATCATTGTTTTCCCAGGTGTATGAATCCTTCCCAACCCTCATGAAATATGTGCCAGGACCCCATCAGACTGTTTTTAAAAACTGGGACAACCTCAAATCCTTTGTGAGAGAAATAATTGACAAGCACAAAGAAGATTGGAACCCACACGAAACAAGAGATTTCATTGATGCTTATCTGAATGAAATGGCCAAGGTAATTGATCAGCCAAGAGGAGGAGGGAAATTTGTTGCTTAACTCTGGGGCTTTCCAGAGTCACTCCACCCTTGCAAGACAGGACTTGGGGGGCAAGGAGGATGACGTGGAGGGGCAGGACTAGAGGACTGCCTCTCCCCACATGCCTAAATGGGACCAGAGTTCCCACTGATGCTGCGGCTGTTTGGAAAGCTGTCAAAACTTATGTCTGTCATTCTGCAAGCTTCAGGGGAGTTTCTGGGGGTTCTCTGGATGCCCCACCTGCTGATAACTGTTGTGATAGTTTTTACTTGACAGTTGTGGGGGAAGGTCCAGCCACCTGAGACTGAGTATTCCCTCTCCTAAAGGATTCTTGTAGTGTAGTTTTCTTATCTGCATGCCAGCTGCTTGGCTATGTTATTTGCCAGAGTAAACAGTTCGTATGTGATATGTAAACACAAACCATTAGCATGACCAATAATAACAAGGAGAATTTCTTAAAAGGTTGCTGGGGAGACATCACATGATCTTCTTTTATTCCGGCCCTCAGAGATGCCATTTTCCTAGGTTTGGAATCTGGATCAGCAACGATGGGGACCCTTTCCTTTCCCTTCCTTAGCACTCAACCCAAGCTTCAGAGATTCCAAAATTTGTTGACCCATCTGACAGCAAGAGCTGGTGTTTTTAGTGAAAGGCTAACACGCTTCCTCGTTCCTGTTTTTCCAGGAAGACGCTGCTCCCACTTTCCACGAGGAAGGCCTGCTGCACTGTGCACTGGATCTGTTTTCTGCCGGAACGGAGACGACTTCTGCAACGCTCCGCTGGGCTCTGCTGTACATGGCCCTTCACCCAGACATCCAAGGTAGGGCTGTGCGTGTTTCTCTGCATTGCTTCCTTATGCACTGCACCTTCCTTGGTGAAGCCATTCTATGCCCCTAAAATGGTGGGAGATGTCATTTCATAGGAGTGTACGGAAACCTGTATTGCACTCTTCTGTCTGGACCACTGAGCCCTGTGCCATGAGCTCCCTCTGTCGAGATGCTCGCTAAAGCACTGCCAGGGCGACCTGGAGCTCTTTTGTGTCCTTAAAGCCGGTCAACATGCAGAAAGGGCATGAGCACTGTGGCCAGCAAAGGGCTAGTGCAGGAAACACAAGCAAGTGCAGCATTGCACAAATGTCCCCACAGTTTCGAGCAGTGTGGCCGAGCCACAAGAAGCCCATTCCTCTCACAGGTGCCAAGACGCTTTTGTCCGTGTGTTTGGCTTGAGGTTCTGCAGATGGAATGAAGGAGGGAGAGCTGCTCGCTCCTCTCACGCCATCCGTGTCACGCGTAAGTGGAATGTCCTTTGCAAAGTGCACGTGTTTTGCTCCCCATACTGGCCTTGGAGGAGTTCTGCTTGCCTGGTGGTTGAGGTGACCCCCGCATACACACACACACACACACACACACTCCTTTTCTTGATGGCAAATGTCATTTTCTCTGCAGCAAAAGTCCAAGCGGAAATCGATTCCGTGATTGGGCAGTCGCGACAGCCGGCGATGGAGGACCGGGATCGCCTGCCCTACACCAACGCGGTCGTTCACGAAGTCCAGAGGATCAGCAACATTCTGCCTATAAGTGTGCCCCGGATGGCCATGAGGGACACGACCCTGGCCGGGTTTTTCCTGCCCAAAGTAAGCCTCAAGGAAACAGCTCGAATCCTCGCAATGCATCTTCCCCTGGAAAGGTGACTTTATGCCAGGAATCCGAGTACCCTGCAGCTGTCCATGGTGGAGGAGACGGACTGCAGAGGCCCCCAGGTTGCTGGGCTCATGTTGAAAGTCCTGGCTGTGGGGATGGAGCAGCAAGACAATCTGGTGGGTCCAGAGGAAAAGGGAGCTTAGAACCAAGAATCTAATGAACAGGGCAGAGATCAAGCTGTGAGCTCCAAAATACAATGCTTCTCATCTAAATCAAAGACAGATGGAATGGAGGCAAAGGGCTTTGCTTTTTGAATGCCAGCATTTGGCTTTGTGGCACATGAGAATCTTGCTTTGCAGGTTCCCAGGTTTTTAGACACAAAATAATCCAAACTAGAAATAACAAACGTCAGAGCCAGGAAGCCCAGCAGGCACCATATTGGGACCCCAGGCTCACTCAGTTGAACACCTAGCCCCTCCCACCGTGAGATGTGGCTTACACATCATTCCTACCCCTCTGCTCCTGCGTGGTTGCACCACCAGTGGGCATCCCAGCTGCAATGGACCAGCGCAGAGCTGAACTCTCCGCCTTGCCACCCTCTCGGTCACAAGCATCCTGGAGCCGAAGTGAAATGAGACTGGGCCAGCCCTTGGACCACATTTTGGGGGAGTTCGTTAATGCTGCTGAGTGGGGTCTCCTCTCGCCTCAGTGGCTTGCCTGGAGCTGCAGCCCTTCAAGCAGTTCTTTGGATGCATTTTCACCTGGAAGAGGTGGAATGGACCAGGCGCTCTTGGGGCGTCGCAACTGCTCCCTGAACCTGGATCCCCATTGCATCACCCATGCAGTGCTTGGAAACTGTCAGTATGCTGGACTTCCAATCCATTCTGCAGCATCCACATTTGGAGAACATATTAAAACACCTGAAAGGGGAACCGAGGCTTTTGCTAAAAACTCAGGTAATTACTCTGCAAGGAACAGATAATCTCCAGGCAAAAAATTCTCTGGTTTCCGGTAGAAAGAGCTGGGTGCTTACTACAGTTGTCGGTCCACTGAGCAGTACATTGAGGAGTTCCCAGAAGTTTCTGCCCATCTCCTTCTCTACCTTTTCTTCAACAGGGAACCATCTTGGGCACCAACCTGACCTCCGTGCTGCTTGACAAGGATGAGTGGGAAACCCCCGATGTGTTCAATCCCGGCCATTTCCTTGAGAACGGCCAGTTCAGGAAAAGGGAAGCGTTCATCCCGTTCTCTGCAGGTGAATGATGGGGGTGGTGGTGGTAGGGGTGCTGGTGGTGGTGATGATGATAAGATTTCATGAACTGCTCATAACTATTAGACAAAGCAGTGCTCATGTGGATGCCCAAGTAAAAGAAGGGTCCACAGGAGGACAGCAAGGATATCGGGGACTGGATGCCGACAAATTTGGAGAAATTACTCTCTGCCTTTTGTACTTAACCAGTTACTGATCCGCAAGAGGAGCACCCCCCCCCCCGCCCATTATTTTTCATTCTATGACTACTTTGTTTGTTCAGGGCCTTTGTCAAAATCCTTTCAGAAATCCACATATAGCATGTCACATGCTTATTGACACTCTAAAAGGCTATTGAGACAGGCCTTCTCCTTGAGGAGCCCATGCTGATTTATTTTTTTTTCCTAGCAGAGCTTGTCCCTCGGTGTGCTTCCTGATTCTTTCTTTAATAACACTTTCAGGCAATTTACTCTGAACAACATTAGGCACTGATTAGATAGTCATGCCTAGGGATGTGTGAGCAATATGTTCAGGGGCGGGAATCTCTTGGATTGTCTGGGCTTGGCTCCCCAGGCTCCGGTCCACTTTTTCCGAGCCCTGAGCTCAGCATACCCAGGGTGCTCAGCAGGAATCGAGCCCCACACACGGCACAAGCAGAGTCCATCTTCCACACCCAGCTCTGCTGCCGTTGGTTCCACCAGGTGGGGAAGTCGGTTGGCCACCTAGAATGGCACCCGGTGTGCCCAGTCACATCACCCCATTCCATCTTCTATGGGGACTCTTTGCGCAGCCGCACCTATTGGGGAGGGTGCTGGTTGCACAACCTGCACTTGCGGACTTCCTCTTGGCTCAGCTAACTTTGCAGGACTGGGCCAAGCAGGGGAGGAAGTCCGCTGCTGCTGGAGGGGTGGACTCTGGCAGGGTTGTCCCAGCCCGAGCCATCCCCCCCCCCCCCCAGCCAGAACTTATGTGGTGCTTTCCCAGCACTTGAAGTGCGGCAGAGCTGCTCCAGGGCTTGCTCTTTGCAAGAATAACTGCCCCTGAGAACATGCTGGCCCTGGGGGCCCTTTGCCCCACCTCCTTGGCTGTCCTCCCTCCCACCACTGGGCTGCAACCCATAGAGCACCCCTGGATTGGAATTTGGCTCTCTGGTGGAAGAGGGTTTTAGACAGCCATGAGAGAGGCTCGGTGCAGCTACTTCATGGTTGTGGCAGGCTTGAGGTGCCCATCAAGACATACTTTGGCAGGACTCCAGGTTGAGGACATCCCAGGGGAGGGCAAGTGGGACGGAGGCATCTTGTCAGTCTCTTCCTTCTGTCCCGCTGCATTTTCCCTTGTGCTGCTCCCAAGGCCCCCACAGCAGATTTTCAGGAGACACGCAGGGCTGTTGGGGCCAGAGGCACGGGGAGGCTGGCCTCCTCGCCCTCTTCCTCCATCGTTAGCAGCATCCCACCCTGTACTTAACAGGATCCAACCCCATTCACCAGACGTTTTAAGTCTGAATTGGTGTGCAATGTGTTGCTCCCTCTTTAAGCCTTTGGGATTTAGGAAATGGAGAAAGAGCATTAAGAGAGAAAGTCTGCACCACATCATGTCCACTATGTCAGTGTCCTACACTCCAGGGCCACATCTGTCCAGTTTCCCCCTTGCCAGAATAACTATTGGATACATCAGGTTTGTATGTAACTTGTAGACACACAGCAGCTGTGAGTGGCCCAGTGCTTCGCCGTGCTGTGTGCAAAGCCATTTATTCATTTAGCTGCTGTGTCCTCTCTCCTAGGGAAGCGATCGTGTCTTGGAGAGCAGCTGGCCAGGACGGAGCTTTTCCTTTTCTTCACTGCTCTAATGCAGAAGTTCACTTTCCAGCCTCCAGAGAATGTGACCTTAAGCCTCGACTTCCAGTTTGGTTTTATATTCTCTCCTCAGCCATACCAGATCAATGCATTCCCTCGCTGATGGAAGCCTCTTTACCTGTGGTTGGATATCAAACTTTTCTGCCTTTCTGTTCTTGGGTGCCATTGTGGAAAATTAACAATAGCTAATAACATACATTTGGCAGCTGTGACCTGCCTCTAACTGCCCAAACTTTTAAAGCAATCTGTGGAAATGCTCCATGTACAGCAAGTTGCAAAGGGCTGCCAATCAATCCTTTTTAGCATCCTTGCCTGGAAGTTTTAACATTCTTTGCTTTAATGCTGGCTTTCATTATTGCTTCTGTTGAAGTTGCCTTCATAAATGTTATACGTTAAACTGTGGAGAGCCTCGCCTGTCCTCTCTCCCTTCACATCTGCAGGGATTTCTCTTCTAGCTCCTTCTCTGGGAAAAAGCAAAAACAGCCACAAACTATGCTCTTGATCCACCCTCACTCAGCTCCTTATTGTCAGAGCTGGACGGAATGGAAAAACTGCTGCAAGCTGATATGTGAGGTGGGAGGAGCTGCGCTTCCTTTGCAATGTAAAATTACCTAGCCACCTCATGCTTTGTCGTAAGGAATTTTGTGTCTCTGATTACAAAATCCAAAGCATTTTAAACATATTAGATTTCTGCAACTCCTGATAGTTTTATTTGTTATCTGTTTCTCAAGCTTTTAATGAGTCACAATAGTTTCCCTGATGCCTGTAATGATTTCTCAATGTTTCTGCATCAATCCCCATTGTCCTCTCCTTCTCATCCATTCAAAAACTGATACCTTGAAACTGTATACATGACCCACAACTTATACAAACTCAGTCCATGCTCTGGAAGCTCGTAGCCCATTCTGTATGCTGGCTATGCAACAGCGTTCTTTTCTCCATCAGAGAGGGATTCCCAGGGTGTCCTGCCAAGAAACTGCTGCAGCTGAACGTAGCATCCTTCTTGTGAATCTTCTTGTCTGCTCTCCTGGTTGCTGGGCACACAGGCCAGGGCCATCCTCTCTATGGAGAGATGTGTTGCATTTCTATTTAGAGTGCAATCCCTATTTGTAAGTTGGGGTATCTCTACTCTTAAGTGGGCATGCATCAACTCATGCAAATGACTGTCCCCTGCTTTGGTGACACATAAACAGTCACAGTGCTGCATGGGAGCAATGGACTGAAAGGCAGGGGGCACGGCGATCTCCTGGAAACAGGATGCTCCCCTCCCCCTTGTCCCCAGGCGGCTGCCTCGCATCCCTCTCAGCCTGTGCTGCTCCGCTCCTCCACCTGCATTGCATACCCAGCTGGCTCTGGGCTGAGCCTCAAGGAACAGGGACACTTGGAGGGTCCATTGCATTGCATTTCTGCCAAATTGGGAATCCTCCCATCATGCCTCTCCAAATGGAGAAGCAACAGAGGACAGCTTCACCACTGTACAGAAAGGAATGAGATGAGACAACCTGAACTCCTCTTTCAGGAAGGCCATGTACAAAGTTGTGGAGCTGTCATTCTCCTGCTTAAAAGCATCCTGCATCCCTTCCTCTCAGGAATCCTGATGGCAACTTTGTAATGTGAGCCAGCCCTTCTGACTCTGGGGGTACTGATGGGTGACTGCCCCTAAGAGACAGCGGTGCCCCGAGGCCACCTTCCTGATGGGTTTGTGGTCAAGGTAGCTGCACACAAGGGATCCCCTGTCTGCAGCCACAGAGTAAGTCACAGACTCTCAGCCCAAGCTACCTCACAAAGGGGGGATTGTGAGAATAACCTTTAGAGGAGTACAAAAATCATGTAAGCACCCTGAGCTCCCTGAAAGGGGAAAGGCAGGATGTAAATGATAATATTTCCAAGAAAAGGTTTCTAGAAGCAGTGTCTTCCATTGGCCCTTGGACCAAGGGAAGTCAGGATGCGATGCATCTGGACTGCACCAGGGTCGGATATATGACAGGGGTGGGCAGGTGGACTGTTTTGGTTCCTCAGCAACAGGTGAATAAAAAAAGATGATCCTGATCAGCTCAGTAGGAGAAAAAAGCAGGTGATGAGGCCAGATCTCAGCAGCTTGATTCCAAAGGCTTTTCTTTGGAAAACTGGGAAACAGCTGTTCCCACCAGATATAGCACTTGCGAATATGAGATGATGCCTGTTGGCTTGGTAGAAACCAATCCCTCCGTCTTCATGCATGTTATGGATCATAATTTTGGTGATCCCTTGGTCAAATTCCTGTGTTCTAATCGTGATAACCTGCTGGATTATTCAAGTGCCCCAGCCAGTAGGAACAACTCAAGAAAGCCTTATTTAAAGGGGACATAGCAACCAGCTCTTGGTCAAGTTGAGAAACGTATTTTTGATTTTGTGGCCTTGACGATTGTGCAATAGAGTAATTCAGTATGAGGTATCAAAATGGATCCAGCAAAAGCCCAAGCAATGTCTTCCGTCTGAGAGCGGAGATTCATTTTTCTGCTTGTTCTGAACGCCACCAGAACAATGTCTTTCATGCGCAACGTGTTCCAAATTGGGACTACATCCAATGAAGTTCACAAAATTCTGTAGCCTCTTTGTGAGCAGAGATATTGTGGAAAGAATTCCCTCCATCGTCATGCATTTTGGAAATGACATTTCTGGAGATTACTTGGCCTAATTTCTCATTGCTAATTGCAATTACCCCTTGGCTGCTGTGAGAGGCTGCCTAATCCAAAGAGAGGTGTGGGAGCAGGGTGTGGGGTGGGGATACAAAGATTCGGCCCTGGGAGGGAGGGAGGGAAATAACCAGGCAAAGGCTAAAGGGGAGAGAAAGAATGAGGCTACATAAGGGAAACTAGATGTGAGACGTGGGAAGCGACAGTAAGGGAAGAAAGCAAGACAGAGAAATAGAGAGGCTCAAGGCGAAGGAATGGGAGTGGGGAGAAGGAGGGAGACGGAGGGACAGTGGAAGAGGAAAAGCAAGGCCAGAGCTAGGAAGTAAGAGGCCAGGGATGGGGAAGGGGCAGGAACAGTGAGGAGAAGGGCAGGAAGGGGAGAGGTGGAGAGCGAAGTGGCGGAAGACTGGCTGGGCCTGGAGGAAAATTCTCCAGACCTTCCTGCCTGCAGAGCAGCTTCAGCAACAGGAAGGAGAAGCTGGTGCCCCAACATTTTCATTTCAAGAAAATTAAAACTAGTTTTGAAAGGGCCAGGAAAATGAGAGATTTGCAAACAGCAAGCTCAGGACCCCTGACCTAGACAGCCTTCCCCACCCTGGATGTGCTGGGCTAAAGCACCCATCATTCCCAGGCAGCCTGGAAGAGGGGATCTGTGGTCCAGAGCATCGCTGCTGACACCATCTTCATTGCCTTAAGTCCATTCTAAGGTTCTGCTTCTCTGCACATTTTCTCAGTGGGCACATGAGCTGGAATGGCCCTTGCAAGGCTACAATCTTCACCTCTGGCCCAAAGGCCTCCAGAAACGGGAGCCCCCGGAGCTTGCCAAACTGGCCACGCATTGCATGCCAGAGAACCTGCAGGGAATTTATCCTCACATTGTGGAGGCAAAATCAGTCCGTGAATATCGGAGTTAACTGAGCTGTTGTTGCCAGCGGGGGGGGGGGGGGCGCCACAGGGAGATGCTGGAGGACAGGACAGCCTGCAGTGGGCTTTGCATGGCACCCCCTGATTGATCCTCAGGTGCCGTGGATGGGGGCAGCTTGGCCCCTCGGGCTGAACAGAGATTCAGCCATTTCCGTGCATGGAGTATGGGGGCAACAGTCAGGCTGCAAAAAGTCTCATCCTTCCCCATGCATTGACAAAGATTATTTTCTCCTGCCTCTTTGCTGCTGGGAAGGGGTGACGCAATTTGTGTTCCATGGGAGTGGTGTGCTGCCCTTTGGCAAGCAGCCTTTGTCCTCCCTCGTTGCATCAGCTGCACGAAAAATACTCACAACATCCACCGAGAGAAAGGCAGAGCTTCTTTTGCTGGGTTACCTCCACGGACCGTCCGGCTTGGCCAGCTGCAGAGGGTGAAGATGCTGCACCACTTACTTTCCGCGCTCCACGAGGGCTTGTCTCTCCCCGTGGTTCTGGTGTTCCTGGCTACCTTCCTGCTCCTTGCTGACTACCTGAAAGGGAGGCACCCGAGGGGGTTTCCTCCAGGGCCCATGCGCCTCCCTTTCCTGGGGAACCTTCTGCATGTTAATGCCAAGAATCCTTTTTCTGATATAGAGAAGGTAAGGATCGGGGCCAGTTGGCAGGACAAGAACTGCGAGGGAACTTGCCCAGAAGGTTCAGTTTCCAAAGGATTCGGAAAGGCTGGAAGAGGTTGGGAGGAGGGCGCTGGATGGTCAGTGATCTGGGACACGAATCCTCCAGGAAAGGCGGAAGGAATGTGGCAGATTTACCTGAAGGAGAGAAGGCTGAGGGCAACTGGACAGCACTCTTCAATTGTTCCCTGTTGTCCCTGAGAGAAGGCTTCAGAATAGCCTTCCCAGTCTCACAGACTTCCAGAGCAAGAGATCAGGCTTCAGCGGGACTTGAGGAGGAAGGTCTTGATGGCAAGATTGTTGGAACATGGAGCCAATTACCTGCTGGTGGGGAGGTGGGCTCTCCATGCCAGCTCAGCAGGGACCAGGCCCACCTGCTGTGGGTCTGGCTCTGTCATTCTGGCACCAAGGTTGGGGTTGATCTAGGCAGCCTGTAAGGCCCCCTTCAGGTCACTGATTCCATGGAATCCAGATTGTACAAAAGGAGCTCCTCTCCTCTACAGGGTCCCACAAATGGTAGAAGCGTGGCTGCTTTGTAGTTCCATGGAGGCTGCTCCCAAATTCTGTCGAAGCCTGAACTATGGACCCCCAAGGTTAAAGTCCATGTCCTTGTAAATGTTTCTACTCAGGAGCCTTTCCACCACCATCATATTTAAGTGGCATGCACTCAGTTGCTAGTCCATCAGTTTCTCCCAGAAACACACCCCAGGTCAATGTTCAAGTAACGATTCCCTTCCAAGAGTGGGATCCAGGGAGGATTTTGACATACGCTGGCAGGAGCAGAGAGTACAAAAGCCATGCTCAAGCCACGTGCCCTTCCATTGCTAGAATGACTGAGCCAAGAGAAACTGTCCCAAGTGAAAAATTCACTTCGAGATTCAGCTGGGCTGTACATTGAAAAGAACACCTGCAGGTTATTCACCCATATTGGACATACATGCAACATGTAGCAGCCCTGAAGGGACTTTGAAGATGAAGTCTGCACAAGATGCTTTTATACCTTACCAGTTACATACAGTTCGGAGGAGTCTGGGGATCTGGTACGCCACATGCTGGGGGCACACGAGGGGAAAGCAAACGGGGATGAACACAACACAGAAGAGGAGAACTTTCAGGAAGGGCAGATATTAGCTTGTCTAAGGGGTGTCCCAAAGGACCGGCCTTTATGGACAGGGGCACGAGCATTTCTAAGGTATATGTGGGAAGCAAGACTAACGTCCTAATCAAATCAGGAAGCCCATCTTCGGTCTTCAACTGTTCTGTCCTTGGCAGGCTTCTGGTGGCCATATTGGTTGGTTTGTCCTGACAAAACCAACCAAATAACAATTCTTTTCAGCAATACTTTCCTAGCCTTTAAAACTCATGGCGAAGAAGTGCTGTTGATTAATAAAACATGGTCTTGCTTGGTCAAAAGCTCCCAAGGACACAGACGGCACGGCCAGAAGGTGGCCCCATGTACTTGGAGAGCACCAGCCAATTGGCCCAACTTCCAGATACAATGACATGAACTGAGTTAGACGGTTAGACGGATGAACCTGGAATGCCTCCGGTCTTGTCTACTTTACCCACTGCATCTGGTCTTGTCTACTTCCTGCTTCAGCTTAGAGAAAAATATGGCAACATCTTCAGACTGCAGGCCGGTAGTATGCGGATTGTGGTTGTGAGTGGGCTGCCACTGGTGAAGGAAGTCCTTGTCCATCAGGGTGAAAATTTTGTTGATCGTCCAGAATTGCCTGTATCAAGTGAAGTCTTTGGGTCGTTTGGTGAGTTTCTTTAAGGCTGTGTTTCCTTCTTGCTTGGTTTTAAAGGGTGCAGACAAACTATGTGATTCTGTGAAACAGCCTTCCCAGCCTCAGGCCTTTGCAATGTGCTGGATTACAACTGCTACCTCCCTGGCTGATACGGACTGCCACATGGGGATGATGTGAGTTGTAGCCTAACACATCTGGATGCTGTCATGTTCAGAAAATGGCTTTAGATTGTTTCACAAGTTCCCATTGGATGCGTCAGTGAGTGTTGCATTTCCACTCTTGGTAAACAGAATGGAATCAAGTAAAAAGGGATCTGAGTGGGTGTTCCATGCAAAGCTTCTGTTGGCCATGAGTGTCAGATCAGAGTATGAACCGAGGAAGGTGTAGCTGCTTGACTGGAAGCCGATTGCACTAGCAGTGCCAGTCGGCTGTTTGACACATCGATTGAGCTTCGCCTGTTTCCCTTGCCTGCACCTAGAGAGGGGAGAAGCTTCCTGCCCAACAGAGAGAAGCTACCTGTCCTGCAGGGCAGCCCCTTGACAGCCATCCCATGCGTGGGCAGGACGGGTGTGGGGTGCCCATGGGTGCGGGGTGTGGGGTGCCCATGGGCTGGAATGCCGGGCCTGTGTATGGAGCTGTCCTCCGTCTGAGGTCATTGCATGCCATTCTCTGATCTCTGATCTCCGTAGTGTTTCTCTCTGTACTTATTGCTATGTGAAAAATTAGGCTTATGCTAATTGTTGCTTGAATTCTGGATCACTTCTTCTTCTTTTTTTTTTTGCAGTACTTTTTTATTAAATTTTAAAACAGTACTAAAAACATGAATCATCACAAACATTGGAAGTACTGAATCAGCACCTTGCTACGTATTTTTTAACATTCTGTAATCATATTCAGATCCATTTATGGAATCTTAAAAACATTTTTAGATCTAAACCAAGTCCCGTTTCTCCAGCCAATAAAAAGAAAAAAGAAAAAGGGTCCAAATTTGATAGAAGTCACTATCTTCTTTCTCCTGCAGTAAGATGAGTCCATCCTTTTCTTACAGAGTTCTGTTTTCCTTGACCAATATTAAAAGAAAGACTCTCCGAATTTGATAAAAGTCAATATCTTCTTTCTTCTTCGATAGTAGCTTCAATCTAACCAACTCTACACAATTCTCTTAATAATTGCAAAAAAGAAAATAGGAACACTCAGCCAAACGGTCATCACATTAAAGAAGAAAATATCCCACAATGTGAAAAATATCCTGGCGAGTGTCCAGTTATCTTGGCAGAATTCCAAACAGATATCCAAAATGATCGGTCAAAGCTTTGAATGCCTATCACATAAAAATTTAAGCACCTTAAAAATTTAAACTAATTTTATACCCTTAGAGAGGTTAGAGGAAAAAGTCTTTTTCTTTGGCTTCAACTTGGACAAAAGCCTCAGCACTCTCTCATCTCAGTCGCCGCCTAAACATCTGGAGGGTTTTTCTTTTCTTAATGCCAAATTATAAACAAATGCAGCTTTTCCACAGGTAATATTATGAAAGAAGTAAAAAATATTTACCCAGCAGTTCCAATGCTTATCTAGCTAATAAAAATCCTAAGCTAATCTTCTAAGATGTCGAGAACTTGAAGGGGCTGAAACCACCTGCTGTGTTACTCGGTTGAGAAGTACCTGAATTGCTTTCAGCAGATATGAGATTGCCATCTCACATCAAGCCAAAAGCATGACCAGGCAATCGGTCTTCACCCCTACAGGGCTTAGATGAGTCTCCCACAACTCACTGCTGAGTAATACTGGCGTGATAAATGAACTCCATTAATCACATCCGTCTCGTTCCGACGCCATCTTCCTGAGTCGAATTCTGGATCACTTCTGATACCTTAACTATTGATTCTGTGGGTAGAAAGATGAATTCTTTGTGTTGGCTATCTGTTATAGATGAGATTTAGAAGGTCAGCAGGAAGACACTAGAAAAGATTATGAAGGGAGAAGGAAGATGGCGTCGGAACGAGACGGTTGTGATTAACGGAGCTCTGTTATCATGCTGGTATTACTCGGCAGCGAGTAATGATCCAAAATGATAGGTCGAAGTTTTAAACTTCTACCACTTAATTGTACCGTAATTTTTTGCTCTTAGAGAAGTTAGAGGAAAAAGTCTTTTTCTTCGGCTTCAACTTAGACAAAAGCCTCAGCACTCTCTCATCTCAGTCACCGCCTAAACATCCGGAGGGCTTTTAAAATTAGATAATGAGATAATGTATCATCTTAAATAGGAATGGTATAAATGGGTTGGCATGTTTACTGTGGTATGGAAAAGCTAAGGTATGTGATTTTAATGTGGAAGCTTCTCTACATTTAAATGTGTTGAATTAGGAAGAGATTATAAGATATGATCTAAACTGAACTAAGAAGGATAAGAATAGGAGTTGAGTCTTCTTTTTTTCTTTGTGGATATAGGGGAAAATAAGAGATTCTTTTCCTTTTATCTTAAAAATGAACAACCAAAAGCTAAGTTACATGACTCTTTTGTCTTTGAATTGCTATACTAGAAAATGATTATTATGGGAGTGGGAGGAGCTGTACTAAACAGATTTCTTTTTATAAGTGAGATATATTAAAGATTGTAAGGAGCTGGAGTCTTATAAGGAGTTAATTGTATGTGACTAAGTGAAGTGTAAGCTAGATGAAATGTTAATAAATTAGCTCAAAGAAAATTTGTTTAAAAGATATCATAGGCAATTGTTGTTGTCAAACAGATTAGGTAAGATGTCTTTAAAGATGCTAAATGGATGTTAGACATGTGAACATACATCTGGTTAAAAGCCTTTAGTTCTTTTTTAAGCTGGGAACTTTTCTTTCGCTTTCCTTTTTAGTAGATATTGGATTGGAACACTAGTAAGCAAAAAATGTATTTGATTGTATTTGTAACTATTATAATGAGGAGTTTATCTGTTTAATATTAGAAAAATGAAGATCTTGAATTGTGTAGAGTTGGTTAGATTGAAACTACTATTGAAGAAGAAAGAAGATATTAACTTTTACCAAATTTGGAGAGTCTTTCTTTTAATATTGGTCAAGAAAAAACGGGACTTTGTACGAAATGGATGGACTGACTTTACCGCAGAAGGAGAAAGAAGATAGTGACTTCTATCCAATTTGGAACCCCCTTTTTTTATTGGCTGGAGAAACGGGACTTGGTTTAGATCTAAAAGTGTTTTTAAGATTTCATAAATGGATCTGAATATGATTACAGAATGTTAAAAGATATGTAGTAAGGGGCTGACCCAGTAGTTCCGATGTTTGTGATGACTGATGTTTTTAGTATTGGTTTAAAATTTAATAAAAAATATAAAAAAAGAAATAAGAAAAGATTATGAAGATCAGCAGAGAAAATCCACAAATGAACCTTCATCTTTGCCCAATTTCTTGAGATCTTGTGTCAAGGCAAGGGCAAACAGAATGGTCTAAAGAGTGAAGGCAGTTTGTCTTTCCCGTGTCAAAGGAATGCCCAGGTGCTCACTGCTGCCCTGTTAATCCTTCCCATCTAGGACTGGTCTTCTCTAATGGGCTTAGCTGGAAGCAGCAAAGGCGGTTTGCCTTATCCACGCTGAGAAACTTTGGTTTGGGCAAGAGAAGCTTAGAAGAACGAATCCAGGAGGAGAGCAGATACCTAACTGATGCCATTGAAGAGCAGAAAGGTAAGCCCTGGGGATGCAGGGTCTGTCCAAGCAGCTCCCGTTTACGCAAGGACTGGTTTGCAGGACTGGGGTTCCAATTCACTAGTGCAACTCTGGCCCTGCTGCCCACCCCCACCCCCAGGAAGACTCCCCGGAGTCCTCTCCTGGTCATGCACCCTGCATGGAGCTTTGCCCAACAGGGAAGGTGACTCCGGGGTGTTCCAGATGGAGCCAACAGAGATGGCAATGGCAGGTAAGTCAGGTGTTTGACTAACAGCTCTGAATGGCTGCAGCGATCTCCCTCAGAAACAGAATATAGCTGGTTCTGAAATATTGAGGGAAGATTCATGCACACACATGGGGAGAGAGGGAAGGAGAGAGGGAGGGAGCCGTAGAGGAGGGGTTGGTCGCACTTTACTTTCATTCCTCCTTGGAGTAAACCAGTAGAAATCATCTTGAAGAGTGAGGGGAGGTGCCTTTTGAAAATCAGGCCCATTTTGGAACATTATTGAGAGCAACAGGTTGGGCCAGGTATCCTATTTTCTGTTTTTGAATTCTGTTGTATCTCCATTCTCTGTCACTTTCTGGTTGCTTGGGCAGTTTACCATTGCAATAAATGCAAATCATTTTCTGCCTCTCACCGGGACCAGGCTTGGCCATGTTTCTAAGACCTGCTTGCAAAGATGAGCTCCCCTGAAGTGCCACCGCTAAGCATATCCTGCCCAGCCCTGTTTTCTGCACCTTCTGGCTGTGAAGGTGCCACACCACGTTCCCACCCCCCCACCCCCCCAACGCAGGAAGTGCTCCCTGCTCCGCTGGCTGGGGCCTGCTGGAAATTGCAGAAGCTCCTGCTGTCCAAGCACACACACGATGGTCACCCAGGAGACAAGTTCACTGGAGAATATGCAGAACATCCGATGCACCCTGCTGCCCAGGGGCCTTGGTGGGATTTTAAAAAATGTTTTAGGATATGCCGCATTCTATTCCAATGTTGCACCATTTTCTCTAAATGGTATTTCTGTTAAATGGAAGCTTTAAGCATCCCAAGTCTAATATTCCCTCTGCCGCCACTCCTCTCTTCTCCCCAGGGCAACCATTTGACCCCCAACTGCTGATCAAGAATGCAGTTTCAAATATCATCTGCTCCGTCACCTTTGGGGACCGCTTTGAGTATTCCGATAGCAGATTCCAGAAGCTTTTGCACTTGATTGATATAACTATGGAGCTTCAAGGAAGTGTTTGGATCCAGGTATGGCAGCTTTCTGGTCGGATGAACAACCCCACTCAAATCCTGTCTCCCTTTGACTCTGTCACACCTGACTAGATCGCTCTTTCCCAGTGCCTCTCACTGTTTGCCCTCAGACTGTCCCCCGTGACTCTTGAGTCCAGAACCCTCCTGCAGAAATGCTGAGGTGGCACTGAGGGTGCTTGGCTCGAGGCCTATGCATCCTCACTATACCCCAAAATATGCATCACTTGCTAGGGCACAACTAAGACTTTCAGGAATGGAATCCCAAGACTAAGCCAGGACCCAGCCATGCATGCGAGCTTCCTACATGCCAGAATCGGGGTTTGGTGAGCAGCACCCCGCATTGCCGCCCCACTCCCAGTGCCTCCATTGCTTCAGCTGGTGCTTCCTGAAGCAACCCCAGAAATGGGCAGGAATGCTGACTCTGGGGCAGGAGGGGGCACCCCACTGACTGGCCCCATTCTGGAAGGAAGCCTTGAAACCTTGTTCCATGTTCCTTAGCCTCAGCTTCCTGTTGCCCTAGCAGTGGATGTTGCCCATTTTCTGTACCTGCAGCATTGATGCTCTTGATATTGCCCCAAAGTCTTAAAAAATAGTAGCACAGATAGTCGTGGACAATTTAAGCACAGTCATAAATTTAATTTCAGTTTTAGAGTAAGCACTCAATTCCACACAATGACACACTAAAGAAAGCAATTTCAGGTGAATTCTGTGGTGTGTATGGAATACGGCTGCTGTTGGGGATGGGATCCTCTGCTGGCCCAGCTCATTTTCTGCAAGTCATTTTATATTGCAAGAGGTGAGAGTCAGGCACGGGGGGACCATTAGAGAGCATCCGGAGTGATTATGATGTGTAATCCAGGACCGGTGCACCATCCTGCTTCCAGAGTCGGGGGTGAGCAGAACAGGGGAAGCTGCCCCAGTGGGTTTAGGGACTCTCCTGTACAAACACGCAAGCTCCCATTTCATGCAGAGCTGACAGGAATTCAGCAGGGGAGCACTTGCATTTTCCACCCCCCCCCCACATCCCTTTTTCTTTCTTTATTCTCTTTCTCATATACTGGGAGGGCTCTGTTGTGAAGCTTCAGGGAAGACCAGAGAAAGCAGAGGCTGTTGCAATAGGGGGATCCCGAGGCAAGCAAAAATGAGGAGGAAGCTCTCTGGGAAAGGGTGTCAGGAGCAGGAGAACTAGAAGACCAACCACTTCAGGGGAAGCAGTGGCCCTGTGGAACCACCTGAAGGTTCTCGAGGATGAGACTGGGGGGCCGGCTGCAGCGGGCAGGAGACTCAGGGTCAACCAACCTTGTCAACCAGACTCTCCTTGGCCTGCTTCTAGCCCAGCTGGCAACCAAGTGGCCAAAGGGGCAGCAGTTCCTTTGCCACTGTGGGGAGTGAGGATGCCATGTGTGAATTCTTGATTCTAACAATTACCCTGAATTTCACAAAAGCTGATTTTAATCAAATCAGAACAATGATAAGTCCCATGGTAAGCAATGCAGATGAGAAAAGACACCAAAGATGTGTGTGCTGGGGGTGGGTTGATTAAAAAGGAAGTTCCAAAGGCATAATTCCACACAATTCTAATGAGGAGAAAAGCTAGAAGACAACAGAAGAAGCCAATGTTTGTAAGCCGTCCCGAGATGCTGAGACGTGGTGATGGCATATAAAAGTTTTAAATAAATAATCATAAATGTGGCTACACAAAAGTGGTTAGAAATGATCTGCAGGCAGGCAGGCAAAGTAGAAGGAAGCCAAGCCTACAAAGGGTTCCGGCAATTACAGTGAAATTTCAGCAAGGCAGAGCTCCTGCTAAAGCTGAGAATGTATTGAGGCTAGCCAGGGATGCCAAAAGCAACACAGGAGCCTTCTTCAGATACATCCAAAGGAAGAGAAGGTGGAAAGAACAGCTACTCGGTGTGGGTGGCAAAATGGGAACAGCTGAGAAAGAAAAAGCAGAAGGGCTCCGTTCTTACTTTGGCTATCCCTGTCTTCAGGAAGGGGAAAGGGAAGGACTCAGACACACCAACTCTTGAAAACCATGCAGTACTTACCAGAAGCCAGCAGGGTAATTTATTCACAAAAAAATCTTTCTGGACTAATCTGACCTCATTTTGTATTTGGTCCCATCCCCAGTGGAGTGTGGGAATGTTGTTGACATGGTCTATCTAGACTTCAGCAAAGCTTTTCAGAATGTGCCGCATGAGATCGAGCTTAGCAAAGTAGCTCTGAGAGGGCCGCACTGAACAACTGTGCTGGCCACAGAATCAGACTCAACGAGGTGTTGCCTTGTGGTCCTGCATTGACCAGGGGCCTCAAAGCCCCCCATCGCTACTGTTCTAGATTCCCTGGTTTTATACTCCCTTTCTTCTTTCTGGTATGCATTGAGATGCCTCTTCTTTCCGCTACCCCTTGTCTCTTGACAGCATAACGATGTGGAAGTGCTGTAGAAGTTCCGCATTTGCCTCTGTCAAGCCTTGTCATTGTACGGTTTGTTTCCCCAGCTGTACCAAGCCTTCCCAGCCCTCATGAAATACGTGCCGGGACCCCATCATGCCTTTTTCAAAAACTGGGGCAACCTCAAATCCTTTGTGCGAGAAATAATTGACAAGCACAAAGAAGATTGGAACCCACACGAAACAAGAGACTTCATTGATGCGTATTTGAATGAAATGGCCAAGGTAATTGATCAGCCGAGAGGAGGAGGGAAATGTATTGCTTAACTCTGGGGCTTTCCACCATCACTCCACCCTTGCAAGACAGGACTTGGGGGGCAAGAAGGAGGATGTGGAGGGGCAGGGCTAGAGGATCGCCTCTCTCTGCATGTCTAAATGGGGCCAGAGTTCCCACTGATGCTTCAGCTGATTGGAAAGCAGCCAAAACTCATGTCTGCCTGTCTGTAAGAGAGGGGTAGTTTCTGCGAGTTCCCTGGATGTCCCACCGGATGAAACCTGTTGTCATACTTTTTACTTAGCAGTCAAGGTGGGGCGGTCTGGACAGCAGAGGCTGGGTGTTCCCTCTCCTAAAGTATTCTTAGAGTGCAGTTTTCTCATCTGCATGTCAGCTGCTTGGCTATTTGCCAGAATAATTTCACATGTAAACACAAACTATTAAACTGACCGATAATAACAAGGAGAATTTCTTAAAAGGTTGCTGGGGAGACATCACATGATCCACTGTTATTCCAGGCATCACGGATCACATTTTCCCAGCTCTAGAATCCAGGGCAGCAAGAATGGGGAGCTGTTCTTTTCCCTCCCTTAGCACTCATCCCCAGCTTTAGAGACTCCAACACACTTGCTTTGATGATAAGAGGTCCTGAATGCAGCTGTTGACCCATCTGACAGCAAGAGCTGATGTACTTAGTGAAAGGCTAACCTGCTTCCTCATTCTCATTTCCAAAGGAAGACGCTGCTCCCAGTTTCCACGAGGAAGGCCTGCTACACTGTGCACTGGATCTGTTTTTTGCCGGAACGGAGACGACTTCTGCAACGCTCCGCTGGGCTCTGCTGTACATGGCCCTTCACCCAGACATCCAAGGTAGGGCTGTGTGCGGGTCTTTGCACTGCTCCCTCATGATGATCGCTGCTCTGCACCTTGCTTGGCGAAGCTATTCTTTGCACCTAGAATAGCAGCAAATAAGTCATTCCAGATAAGTCATTTCAGAACAGTGAAGCTGGCCCTGGTTTTCTTAGAGAAGTCCTGTTTGCCTGACAGTTGCAGTTCTGTTTTCTGCTGTCTGTTGATGGCAATCGTCGCTTTGCCTGCAGCCAGAGTCCAAGAGGAAATCGATACCGTGATTGGGCAGTCGCGACAGGCGGCACTGGAGGACCGGGATCGCCTGCCCTACACCAACGCGGTCATTCACGAAGTCCAGAGGATCAGCAACATCGTGCCTCTAAATGTGCCCCGCGTGGCCACAAGGGACACGACCCTGGCCGGGTTTTTCCTGCCCAAGGTAAGCCTCAAGGAAACAGCTGGAATCCCTGCAATGCATCTTCCCCTGGAGCGATGAATTTATGCCAAGAATCCGAGTACCCTGCAGCTGTCCATGGTGGAGGAGATGGACTGTGATGGCCCCCAAATGTGTGGGGTCTTAGTGAAATTTCTGACTTCTGACTTGGAGTCTTAGTGAAATTTCTTCAGGCCAAAAATTCTCTGAGCGTCTGTTGGTACTACATGGTGCTTAGAGCAGTGAGCCATCCATGGATGAGGTCACTGAGGTTTGACACCCTGACGATCCCGTCCATTCCCTTCTCTGTATCTTCTTCAACAGGGAACGACCTTGATGTCCAACATGGCCTCTGTGCTGCACGACGAGGATGAGTGGGAAACCCCCGATGTGTTCAATCCCGGCCATTTCCTCGAGAACGGCCAGTTCAGGAAAAGGGAAGCGTTCATCCCATTCTCTGCAGGTGGATGCTGCTCCTGATGAACTATGACACAAAGCAGTGCTTATTTGGATGCCCAATTAAGAGAAGGCTCCAGGGGAGGGCAAGATGGATGATCTGGGGACTGGATTCTGCTGAATCTGGAGAAATTACACTTTATTCCAACCCGAGCCATTCCCCCCATCAGCCAGAAAGTATGTGGTGCTTTCCCAGCCCTTGAGGGGTCGCAGAGCTGCTCCTAAGGCTTGCCCCTGGAAATAATAAACACGACTGAAAACATGCTGGGCTTTGGGTTTCACGGCGCAATGACAGGGGGCTCAGTGAGGCAGCTTCAGTGTGCCCAGTTCATAGCAAGTGCTGGTGCAAGGGAGGCGCCTTGTCCCTTTCCCCCTTCCTTCCTCCTACATTTTCCCTCATGTTGCTCTCAAAGCCCCCACAGCAGATTTTCAGGAGACACGCAGAGCTGCTGGGGCCAGAGGCACTGGGGGCTGGCCTCCTCACCTCCTTCTTCCAGGGTCAGCAGCATCCCACCCTGCAGTTATCTGGACCCAAACCCATTCACCAGATGTTTAAAATCTGAAATGCAGTGGAATGTTTTGTTCCCTCTCTAAGTCTTTGGAATGAGGGAAATGGAAGAAGGATCATTAAGAGAAAACGTCTGCACCACAGAATCTCCAATCTTTCAGAGTCCTAAAATACAGGACCATATTTGCCCTGTGCATTGGATACACTAGATTTGTATATAGCTTGTAGGCACACAGCAATGGCATTCCCCATCCTTTCTGCCAGGGTCCTGTGCTTTACTCTGTTTTCTGTGAAGTCCGCTGCTAATTCAGCCACTGTGTCCTCTCTCCTAGGAAAGCGAGCATGTCTCGGAGAGCAGCTGGCCAGGACGGAGCTTTTCCTTTTCTTCACTGCTCTGATCCAGAAGTTCACTTTCCAGCCTCCAGAGAATGTGAAATTAACCCTCAACTTCCAGATCGGCATTGCAGTCTCTCCTCATCCGTACCGGATACACGCATTCTGTCGCTGATGGAAGCCATGTTATCCTTGGTCAGAGATCAAAATTTACTGCCTTTCTGTTCTTGGGTGCCATTGTGGAAAAATGAAGAATAGCTATTAACACACACCTGGGATCTCTGACCTACGTACTTTAAAGGCTACCTGTGGCTATTCTCCATGGTACAGCCAATCACAAAGGGCAGCCAATCCACAGACTGGTCCTTCTTCTCAAAGCTGCGGCTCAGCGTAGCTTCACTTTCCTTCAGAGGCTGGTGAGCCCTGCCAATATCCCTCATTCTGGCTCATTCAGCAGGCATGCCTTTCTTTGGCTTGGTGGAATCCCGAGCAGCCCTGGAGACATTGTGGAGGGTTCCCTGCCCTGTGCAAGCTGTGGCAGCAGGCACGCCTTCTGGCAATGTTGCACGGAGCACGCTCCGTTTCTCCCGGAGGCTGGAATGCTGTCAGCACTTGGGGAATCCCATCTCTGAGCATTTCGTCTCTTCCTCGCCAATCCCTTTGGTAATGGAACGCGACCTCAACTAGTGAACATGCACTGTAATGCAGAGATTGCCATTCTAGCATTCGAGAAGTTTTAATCCTCCTACATCCTCTTCACGAAGAAATCCTGCAGAGGCGTCTGGACCGGGTTGGGCTTTGTTCTGAGTTAAGGAGGGCTCTTCTAAGATTTGTAAGAAACACTAATCCTGTTTGGTTACTGAATGCATTTCCAGTCACGGACATTCAAGCACCATCTTTATGGGTGTTTGAAAAGGCCCCAAAGACCCTGGGACTTACTGCGGCCTTCTTGTACCATAGAAGTTATAGGACTTCATTTAATTGATTTCAACTCTAAGTCGGTTTTGTTTTTAATTCCTTTTTAGCATCCCTGCACTGGACATTTTAACATTCTTTCCTTTAATTCTGGCTTTCATTAGTGCTTCTGTTGCAGCTGCCTTGATAAATGTTATTTGTTAAACTATGGAGCACCTTGCCTGTCTTCTCTCCCTTCACATCCATGCAATTTTCCTTTACTAGTTCCTTCTCTGGGAAAAAGCAAAAACAGCCTCAAACTATGCTCATGATCCGCCCTCACTCAGCTCCTTATTGTCCAACCTAGACAGAACTGAAACACTGCTGTAAGCTGATATGTGGGGTGGGAAGAGCTGCGCATCCTTTGCAATGTAAAATTACCTAGCCACCTCATGCTTTGTCGTAAGGCAGCTCATGCTTTGTCTTAAGGAATTTTGTGTCTCTGATTGCATAAACCAAAGCAGTTTAAACCTGTTCGCTTTCTGCTACTCCTGATAGTTTCATTTGTTATTTGTTTCTCAAGCCTTCAATGAGGCATGATGGTTTCCCTGATGCCTCTAATGATTTCTCAAAGTTTCAGCATTAACTCCCATTGTCCACTCCTTCTCACACATTCAGAACTTCATCACTACCTTGAAACTTTATACTTGACCCACAGCTTACGCAAACTCGGTCCGTACACTGGAAGCTTGTAGCCCATTCAGTATGCTGGCTACCTGACAAGGTTGCTGCTCTTTTCTCTGTCAGAGAGGGAGTCCCAGGGTGTCCAGCCAAGAAACTGCTGAAGCTGAAAGGAGCAGCTTTCTTGTGCATCTGAACACCTCTTCTCCTGGTTCTACAATTCTGAGATTTCCAGGGAGTTCATCTGAAAGTGATGGTTGCTCAAATATAGTTCATGGAAGCCTTGCTGAATTTTCCCCGTAAAAGCAGTGTATCAAATCAAATTGTTCAAATACACTGTCTAGGTGATAAAATGCCAAAGAGATTACCAGGGTGGCCACATGTCTTCCTTTTCAGGGCACAGTCCTCTATGCAAAGAGCTGCCAAAGAGCTGTCCTCTATTTGAAATGGTTCTTTTTCTGAGTCTTTTGAAAGATAATAATCCCAAAGAATCATTTCCTACCAGCAGTTAGGACTTGAGCAATAAAATAACCAGGCGGGTTCAGACCCTTCCTCACTACAGAGAGATGCATCACATTTCTATTTAGATCGCAATCCCTCTTCCTAAGTAGGCTTCTCTACATACAAGTGGGCATGTGTCATCTCATGCTAATGACTGTCCCCTGATTTGGTGATGCATAAACAGCCACACTGCTGCACGGGGGCGGTGGACTGAAAGACAGGGGGCACGGCAACCCCCTGGGACCTGGATGCTGCCCTCCCCCTTGTCCCAGGCAGTTGCCACCTGTCCCGCTCCGCCTTGCTGCTCCGCCCCCACCTGCCTGCGGACCCAGCTTTGTCCGGGCTGAGCCCCAGGAAACAGGGACACTTGGAGGGTCCATGGCATTGCATTTCTGCCTCCCGTCACTCCTCTCCAAAGGAAGACGCAGCAGAGCACCGGTTTCCCACTGCTGCCTTGAGAAATGCTTTAATATACGCTGGAGAGGAAGGAGGGAGATGAGACCACCTGGAGTCCTCCTTCAGGAAGGCCATGCGCAAAATATTGATGTTATTATTCTCCTGGTTTAAAAAATTCTGCATCCCTTCCTCTCTGACTTTTGGGATTCTTTTTCCTGGCTCTTCTGAAGGGTACCAAAACAGTATGAACTTTCCTGTAGAACATGCATCAGATTGAGACCGGATCCAAGGAAGCATGCAAAATGACTGAGGGGAGGTGGGGGGGGGGAACAATTTCACAATTTTTGACCCTGAGCAGCTGATCAGCAGCAGGGTCAACAAAATGAAGAGGAACTTTTCATTTCTGAAAAATCTGAACTACAGTTTTGAAAGGGAGAGCGCTTTGCGGACACCATGCTCAGGATCATTCCCCTAGACAGCCTCCCCCATCCTGGATCCACCTGGATGCGTTGGACTAGAGTGCCCATCATTCCCAGGCAGCCTGGCAGATGGGAGCTGTGGTCCAGATCTNCGGAAAGGCAGGAGGCAACTGCTGGTACTTCCAAGAGCAAGATGCCTCTGAGCAGCGTCTCCCCTGGCCCTTGGACCGAGGGAGGCCAGGATGCGAGGCGATGCGATGCAACTGGACTGCACTGGGGTGGGGTATGTGGCTCTGTTTCTGAGCATTGTTGCACAGGGGGCGAGCAGGCCAGAATTTCTGCTTCCTCAGCAGCACGACAGAGCTCCTGCAGCAGACCATACTTCGAAATACAAAAGGGAGAAGAAGGTCCCCTCAGAGGGGTAGTGCTGCTGCTCCTAGTGCCTCACAGTTCAGAGCGATGCCTGAAATCAACTTGGTGAATCAAAAAAGACTATCTTGATCAGCCTGCAAGGAGAAAGGACTGGGTGGCGAGGCCAGATCTCGGCAGCCTGATTCCAAAGACTTTTTTTTTGGAAAACTAGAAAAGAGCTTTCCACACATGATATGCCACTTTGAAATATCTGATGATGCCGTTTGACTTGGTAGAAACCAATCCCTCCATCTTCATGCCTTTTGTGAATGATATGTTTCGTGAGGACTTGGTCAGATTTCTGGTTTCTAAGTGTAATAACCTACTGGCTCCTTCAAGTGCCCCAGCCAGTATGAAAAACATTTAAAAACCATGTTTGAAGATGACATGGAAACCGTTTTTTTGTCAAGTTAGAGAAATATGTTTCTGAATGGCAAGCTTGATCCAACAAAATCTAAGCTGGATGCGTTGGACTAGAGTGTCCATCATTCCCAGGCAGCCTGGCAGATGGGAGCTGTGGTCCAGATCTTCCCCGTTGACACCATCCCCATTGCTTTAAATGCGTCTGAAGATTCTGCTGCCCTGCTGCATTTCACAGGGGAAACGTGAGCTGGAACGGCACCTGAGCCAGAGATCCAGGCTGCAGACCCCGCCTTGATCCCAAGGGCTGGAGCAATGGAGCCCAGGAGCCCGCCCTGCTGACAGCGCAGGGCCAGCCAGGGAACGTGCAGGGCGTCGATCCCGAGGTTGCGGAGGGTGAGCGCAGGCAGGAGTTCGCTGGGCTGCTGTTGACAGCAGGGGGACACGGCAGGGGGCTGCTGGAGGGCAGGACAGCCTGCCGTGGGGCTTGCATGGCACCCCCTTATCGAGCCTCAGGTGCCGTGGAGGGGGCAGCATTGCCCCCTATGCTGAAAGGGGATTCAGGCATTTCCGTGTATGGAGTATGGGGGAAACAGTCTGGCCGCAAAATGTTTCATCATTCCCTGTGCATTGAGCAAGATCATTTTCTCCTGCTTCTTCCCTGCTAGGGGAAAGGCAAGGCAATCACTGTTCGGTGGGAGTGGTGTGTTGCCCTTTGGCAGGCAGCCTTTGGCCTCCATTGCATCAGCTGCAGGAAAAATACAACATCTGCGGAAAGAAAGGCAGAGCTTCTTTGGCTGGGTGCAGAGGGTCAAGATGCTGCGCCACTTACTTTCCACGCTCCAGGAGGGCTTGTCTCTCCCCGTGGTTCTGGTGTTCCTGGCTACCTTCCTGCTCCTTGCTGACCACCTGAAAGGGAGGTGTCCCAGGGGGTATCCTCCAGGCCCCGTGCGTCTCCCTTTCCTGGGTAATGTTCCACATGTTGGTGCCAAGAAACCTCTTTCTGAGATACAAAAGGTAAGGATCGGGGCCAGTGGGAGGGACAAGGGCTGCAAGGGAACATGTCCAGATACTGCTGTTTTCAAAGGATTCGGAAAGGCTGGAAGAGGTTGGGAAGTGGTCTGGGACACGAATCCTCCAAGAAAGGAGGGAGGAACTGGGCACTTTTACTCTGAAGAAAAGAAGGCTGAGGGCCAACCAGACAGTGCTCTTCAAATCTTCCCTGCTGCCCCCAAGGGAACTGTGGGGACCTTTAGAACAGCCTCCCCAGCCTCATGGGCTTCTGGGGCAGGAGACTGGGCTCCAGTGGGACTTTAGGTCTTGATTGCACGGTTGTTTGACCAGGCAATCAATCCGGAGTGTCCCAAAGAGCTCCTCTCCTCCACAGGGTCACTCAAAGCCTAGAAACGGGGCTTCTTTGAGTCTCCACAGAGCGTGCTCCCCCATTCTGTCAGAGCCTCAACTCGGGACCCCCAAAGTCAAATTACAAGTCCATTTCTACTAAGGAGCATTTCCACCACCATCGTATTTATCTGACATGCACTCAATTGTTCAGTCTATCAGTTTTTCCCCAAAACACACCCAAAATCATGGTTCAGAGTCTCAGTTGCACCCTTAGAGCAAACATTCAAGAACTGGTTCACTGCCAAGAGTGGGATCCAGAGAGGGGTTTGGAACGTCCTGGGAGGAGCAGAGGGCTCAAAAGCCTGGCTCTGCCCACGTGGCCCCCCAGCGCCAGCGTGACTCAGCCAAGAGAAACTGTCACGAGTGAAAATCCACCCTTAAAGAGTTGGCTGCGGTTGCAATCAAAACAACACCCACAGGTTATTCACCAATACTGGAAAAGCATGCAGCATGCAGGCGTCCTGCAAAGGGACTGCAAAGATGAAGTCTGCACAAGATCCTTTTGTACCTTATCAGTTACTGACAGTTTAGAGAAGTTCAGGGATCAGAGACGCAGCAATAGTGGATGAACACAACACAGCAGAGAAGAACCTTCAGGAAGGGTAGACATTAGCAAGTCTAAGGTGTGCCCCAAAGGACCGGCCTTTCAAGACAGATACATGAACATTTTTTAAGTAAATTTTATTATTATTTTCTACAAGCTAAAAAATAGAAACAAAAAAAATCAATCATCGGAGACATCAGATCTACTAGATCAGCCCCCTATTTTTTTTATAGCAATCCGTAGACATATTCAAATCTATGCACAGTCCTGTTTCTCTAGCCAATAATAAAAAGAGTTCCAAGTTTGACAGAAGCACGTATCCTCTTTCTCCTTCAGAGACAAAGTCAATCTGTCCATTTCAGCACAGTCCAGAATCTTTTTTAGAATCAATTCATCAGTAGGTGGTTCTTCACTTCTCCAATGTTGGGCAAATACAATCCTTACCGCAGTAATTACATGTAGAATCAAATACATTGCTTGTTTATCAACATCATCAATGCCTAGTAAGAAGACTTCAGGTTTAAATATTAAAGATTTTCGTAACATTTCCTCAAGCCATTTATGTATTTTAGTCCCATATTTTTTTGCCTTATCACAAGTCCACCACATATGATAAAAAGCACCCGGTTTATGTTTGCATTTCCAACATCCATTTGACATATTTGGAAACATCTTTCCTAATCTATTTGGCAACAAATACCATCTATAAAACATTTTATACAGGTTTTCCTTATATGAGGTTGCTAAAGTTACCTTGATATTTCTTTCCCACAAATCTTGCCATTTCTCTAGCTCAATATTATATCCAAAAAATTTTGTCCATGTTATCATAGTTTCCCTAACTTGTTCATCTTCCATTCTTATATCCAAAAGAAAATTATACAGTCTTTCAATCATTTTCTCATCTGATTTTTAGATCACTTGGTCAAATGTTGTTAACTCCTTATAAAAACCCCACATTTTATCATCTTTAACATATCTCGATTGTATTTGAACCTTATGGCACCAAGAGATACTAGTACCCTGCTCTTGTAATTCTTGGTTCGGTTGCAGTCCTCCATCGTTATCCAAAATATCATCGTATCTCACAACCATATCAAAATTCAATGTGTTTGGATATACAAGAGCTTCCATAGGCGAAAGCCGTCTTGGCAACTTAGTGTATAGTTTTGTCCTTAATTTTCCCCACACCGACATTAATGACTTTCTAATATGATGATTTAAAAAATAACCCTGTGTTTTACATTTCTCATACTACATATAGGTGTGCCAACCCATTTATAGATCATGCCCTTCAAGAGAAAGGATTCTCTTATTTCTTAAAATTATCCATTCTTTTAGCCACATTAAGACAGAAGCTTGTTAATACAACATCCAATCAGGAAGGTCAAAGCCCCCATTCCCTTGGGCCTCCTGAAGCATTTTTAATTTAATCCTTGGTTTCTTCTTTTGCCATACAAATCTCAGAATTTGGGTATTCAGATCGTCAAAAAAATTTAATCAATTTTTATGGGAATTGTTTGGAATAAAAACAAAAGCTTTGGTAATATATTCATTTTAACTATTGCTATTCTTCCCAACAATGATAGTTGCAAATTAACCCATTTTTCCAGATCACTTTTAATTTCCTTAAGTAGTTTATCATAATTATCTTCTTTCAATGTAGTACATTTAGCTGTAAGAAAAATTCCCAGATATTTAAATTATTTAACAATTTGAAGATTTACTTGTTCCGTCAGGGTTATTCTCTGCTCCAATGTGAGATTTTTCACTAGCAATTTCATCTTTTCTCTATTTATTTTCATCCCAGTAACTTCGCCATACTCTTCTATCTTTTTTACAAGTTTAGACATTGTTACCAAAGGTTCCTCTAGAATACAAACTAAATCATCTGCAAATGCTTGCAATTTATAGCTTTCATCTCTAATTCTAGCACCTTTAATATCCATATCTTCCCTGATATTTCTATTTAACACTTCTAAAATCAATATAAATAACAATGGTGATAGAGGACATCCTTGTCTTGATACACGAACATTTCTAAGGTGTATGTGGGAAGCAAGACTTGAATGCTAATCAGATCAGGAATCCCATCTTAAGTCTTCATCTGTTCCCTCCTTGGCAGGCTTCTGGCAGCCATATTAGAGCAAAGCCTTTGCTCCTTTTGGCCCTTTGACAAAACCCACCAAATAACAATTATTTTCAGCTGTACTTTCCTAGCCTTTAGAATGCATGGCAAAGAAGTGATGTTGATCAATAAAACATGGTATTGGTTGGTATTGTTTTCTTGGTTGTTCAAGTAAACAAGAGAAGCACTTCCCCAAAACTGCCAAGTACAAGAAACAGCAGCAGATTCCCCACCCCACTGAAGTGTTCTCCTGACCCACACGCAGACCCTCGTTCTGGGGCGAAGCTCCAATGGCCACAGACAGCAGGGCCAGAAGGAGGCCTCATGCTCTTGGAGAGCAAAAACTAAAGTTACCCAGCTTCCGGACATGGTGACATTAAGTGAGCACCAGGTAGATGGATGAACCTGGAGTGCATCTGGTCTTGTCTACTTGCTTCTTCAGCTTAGAGAAAAATATGGCAACGTCTTCGGCCTGCAGCTCGGAAGCATGAAGTTTGTGGTTGTGAGTGGGCTGCCGCTGGTGAAGGAGGTCCTTGTCCATCGGGGTGAAGATTTTGTAGACCGTCCAGAAATGCCTTTTACACGTGAAGTCTTTGGATCATATGGTGAGTTTCTTTTAATAAGGTTCCATTTCTTGCTTGCTGGTTTGTTTTTTAAAGGGTGTGTGCAAATATAAAAGGAAAAAATAATTCAACAGAAAATAGAGAGCAGATCAAGCTTTTAACCCATTGTAGTCTAAGCAGCAGATATCCCTATCTCATCCCAAACTTACTTTGTATTTCTCAAGAGGGATAGCGCTTCCTGCCTAACAGAGAAGCTGCCTGTCCTGCAGGGAAGGCTGTTGACAGCTCTCCCTTGTGTGGGCAGGAAGAGTACAAGGTGCCCACGGATTGGGATGCCAGGCCTGTGTGCGGAGCTGCCTTCTGGCTGGGCTCTGCGCTTGCCCCTCTCCCATTCTCTGATCTTCATACTGTTTCTCTCTGTGATTATGGGAATAATTACACCTGTGCTAAATTTTGGAAGAATGGACGGATGGGTGTCAGATTGCTTCTGATACCTTAACTATTGTTTCTGTGGGTTAAAAGGTGAGTTCTTTGCCTGAGTTTGCTCTCTGCCTCAGATGAGACTTGGAAGGGCAGCAAGAAGGAACTAGCAAAAATAATTGACTACTGAATTCCATAAACGAAACTTCAGCTTCGGCTAATTCCTTGAGGACATGTGCTATGAGTAAGGCAAAGGAACGGTCTACAGAACAAAGGGAGTCTGTCTTTGATGTGGGAGGCCCATACCAAAGGGATGCCCAGGTGCTCACTGCTTTCCCATTAATCCTCCCCATCTAGGACTTGTCTTCTCCAACGGGCTCAGTTGGAAGCAGCAAAGGCGGTTTGCCTTATCCACTTTAAGAAACTTTGGTTTGGGCAAGAGAAGCTTAGAAGAACGAATCCAGGA